GAGGGGTTTGGGGTGCAGGAGGGGGACTCAGGGCTGGGGGAGTGAGGGGTTTGGGGTGCAGGAGGGGTTCCGGGTTGGGGGGGCTCAGGGCTGGGGCAGGGGGTTGGGATGCAGAAGGGGGTCAGGGGTGCAGGAGGGGCTGCGGGTTTGGGGGGGCTCAGGGGTGGGGCCTGGGGTTGGGGTGCAGGAGGGGGTCAGGACTTTGGGCTGGGGATGGCATGCTCTAGGGTGGGGCCGGGGATGAGGGGTTTGGGGTGCAGGAAGGGGTTCCTGGTTTCAGAGGGCTCAGGGCTGGGGCAGGGGATTGGAGCAAGGGGTTGGGACGTGGACTTACCTCCAGTGGTTCCCAGTCAGCGATGCAGCCAGGATGCACCGCGGACTGCGCTGCGGGCCCGAAGTGGCCAGCAGCATGTCTGGCTCCTAGGCGGAGGCGCACAAGCAATTCTGCGTGACTCTTGCCTGCAGGCAGCCCTCCCCCCCTCCTCCCAGTTCCCATTGGCTGGCAACCGGAGCGTGGAGCCAGAGCTTGGGGCAGGAGCAGTGTGTGGAGCCCCATGGCCCCCCTGCCTAGAAGTCGCACCTGCTGCTGGCCACTTCCAGGGCACAGCGCGGTGTCGGAAAAGATAGGCACTAGCGTGCCTTAGATGGGCAGCACCGCCGATGGGACTTTTAATGTCCCCGTCAGCAGTGCTGACCAGAGCAAGGCGACCTAGCGCCTTACATGCTGTGTCCCAGTAGTGGGTTGCGACCCATGGTTTGAAAAACGCTGGTCTAGGGTAGCTGCAAATAGACACAGCTGCAGTAATGTTCAAGGGCATGGACCACCATGGTGAAGTCTTCATTACTAACAGTCAGCTTTATTACACTATGGAGTAGAAACTTATGAGGGAAGTGCTGGAAGCTCTACTGCTTGGACCATTTAAAATTAGTCTAGATAAAAGCACTAGGAAATTTATGGTAGTAACAACAATAAAGTAACTAAATCTTGAATAGCAATTTTGATTCATAGATCTTTACTATGCAGAAGAAAAATGCTGCTTTCCCTTTATTGTTTTAGTAGCTTATGTTTAACACAATACTGTACTGTATTTGCTTTTTTTTTTTGGTCTCAGCTGCTACATGATTGCATACTTCTGGTTCCAAATGCGGTGTGTGGTTAACCGGTCAGTTCGTAACTCTGATGTTCATAACTCTGAGGTTCTACTGTATATATCATTACACATTTTACAGATGAGGAAACTCAGGTAGAGAGAGATGAAGTGGCTTGCCCGAAGTCTTACAACAGGTCAGTGGTAGAGCTGAAAATGGAACTCAGGTCTTCTGAGTTCCAGTCCAGTGTCCTGTCCACTAGATCACATTGTCTTTACCTTAGGGAGCAATGCTGTATTGGCATGGAGTATGAGCTAAATGATAACATGGGCCTTTTTCTACATCTTATTATGATTCACTGTGAATAGTTGTGATGGTCTATAATTTGCTGATGCTGTGGCTGAGAATGACTTTTCAGACTCCAGAGGGACAAGGTGGGTGAGCTCATATCTTTTATTGGACCAATTTCTGTTGGTGAGAGAGACAAGCTTTCAAGCCACACAGAGCTCTTCTTCAGGTCTATTGATGCTGGTGGCTAAAAGGCTATAATACTTTGGGTCACTTTTACTTTAAACAATAGTGTCATCTTTTGCCTACCTGTTCATAACCATTGGTGGCATCCCCATATTGCTCTGTGCCATTACTTTATTGATACCTTTAAGAGCTACCATTTTTGCTTTCATTATGGGATCAGTGATTGCATCAAAATCTATGAAACAAAAATAGTAAAGGGTGAATTACACAGCTGAACATTTTGATTTTACTGAACTATCAACATAATGAATATTTCCAATATTGGCACGTGTACTAATCCCTTGAGTTTAAAACAACTGCATTACAATCATTTAACCATGCGTACTTCAAATTAATTTTTTTCTTCCCTTTATAACTAGAGATTAAAATGTAGGTTTCTATATTCTGTAAGAAACTTGCACTTCAGCAAGCATCTCAGGAATGGGATTGACAGTGCCCATTATAGCAAATGAAATAACTTTCATTGCTACAGTGAGCCAAGAAACGCAAAAGAAGGAATATTAGTTTGAGAGAGGCTGGAACAGGAGACTTGGCTAGAGGGTGAATCCATTAAATTACAAACATCACCAAGTTAATGGAGGTATTTGACAGGGCTGCCTTAGTCACCATGAACAGTGACACGGAGGAGGAATTTACTGCTATTATGAAATAGAATTTATATATTAAAAAAATCAGGAAAAGGAGTCTGACTTGTGCACTTGGTAGACATTATTGATATTGATACAACAGTGACTGCTAGTCAGAAAGCTCCAGTTGTGTTTAGACTCCTGTACCACACATTGACTCAGTATGTTTTTTAGCATTTTCGTATTACATTAACGCAGTGGCTCTCAAACTTTTTTACTGGTGACCCGTTTCACATAGCAAGCCTCTGAGTGCGACCCCCCCTTATAAATTAAAAACACTGTTTTATATATTTAACCCATTATAAATGCTGGAGACAAAGCGGGGTTTGGGGTGGAGGTTGACAACTCGTGATCCCCCCCATGTAATAACCTCACGACCCCCTGAGGGGTCCTGACCCCCAGTTTGAGAATCCCTGCATTAACGAGCTGTGGATTAAAATACCTGTTTTATAATCTAAATGCTATAAATTGATATGCTATGTTATACCAGTAAGAACAGATTGCCAGCTTCTATTCAGAACTTTTCTTTTTTAAGTACACGCAGAACAATTTTTCCCTAGGTCCCATATGAGTGAGTTAATAATTGTACTTTCACCCGTATGCTTAATTTCCAGTCTCCTGCTGTAACTACTAGTCAAGTTCCTCTTCATCATGCCAGCTACAAATTCAGTTTTAAATGCCTTTGTATTTTTGTCAATAGACAGTCAGATTTTTTTAATATATTCTTTTGGTATTTGATTAGTGAACTAACCAGTACCAAAAAAGATATCACATACATACCAATATTGGGGAAAAATGGCTCTGAACGCTGACGAATCATGGCTTGCATCTGTCGCTGCTGCTGCTGCTCCTGCCTTTCCTGATCCAAAAGATCCTGCAGAAGAAGGGGCTGCTCCTCTAGTAAAAGAGGTCTCTCCCGATTTTGCTGCTGGGCTAGAGTCTGTGGGAGCATTATCTGCTGGGGACCAGATATGCCACTGGGACCAGGGCGATTTGCCAAAGTCACGGCTTGATTACCAGGTTGTCCTGTCCCAAAGCTGTGATTAGTTGACTGACCTTGGATAAATCCTGGATTTACTGTTGCCCCTTGAGAGAAGCTATGGTTTATTCGTGGAACCACGGTCAGATTAGAATTTAAAGCGTTTTCCAAGATTTGTCCAGCAGGTGTCATTAGTGTTTGAGAAACACCCGATACGTGATTTGTTTGCGTTGCTGGCAAAGACTGAGGTGAAGAGCCTAATGCCCTTATGTCAGAGTTATCTGAACTCTCGTTGGCCAGCAGACTTGAAAGGACTGGTGTGGATCCAGAAATACTGCAAGAATTTATAACACCCTGAGCAGGCAGTTTAGCAGGGCCCTGAACAACATTTGGACTAGACACAGTTGTTTCCTGATTCGTAGTAATAGTTTTGTCAGGTAATTCTGGATTATTAGGCTGCACAGGAGCTTTTTCTCCATCATTTAACTTTGTCTCAGCAGCAACCTGAGGGCCTGCAGATTCCACATTGCCATCATTGTTTTCATTTTCAGACTTGGTTTCATCTAATGAGTTTGGAGAAAGCACTTCTGTTTTAATCTCACTTTCCATAGCAGATTTCTTCTGCGGAGAAAGTGCATCAGTGGGGACTGAAGTTTTATCACTTTGTTCTTTCTGTTTTGGTTCTTCTGTCTTGCTCTGGATATCTAATTTGTCATCTATAGGAACACTAAGATCCAATTCCTCATTAAACATACTTTTTTTATCCTCCAGATCAAGTTCTGGGTCTGTGTATGCAATTATGTCAAATTCCCCTGATCTCAGGAGGTCATCAAGGTGAGGATCATTGGTTTCTAGATTATCTAAAGTGTCCAGCTCATCTCCTTTCCCATCCTCTGGATCTAGATTTAAATTTTCAAGATCCTCATCATCTAAGTCCTTGACTTCAACCCCATCCAGGTCTTTGACATCTAAGTCTTTTACAGCGGGATCATCAGGATCAAGCTTCTCTTCTAATCCATCAGTTGGCTGGTTGGGAATCTGTAGATTTCCAGGTGCCTCAGTGGGTGCAGATGTAGGCAAAGGAGTCCCTGAAAAAGCATCATTAACCGGGGCATGACTTAAGGAACGCATGACAAGCACGGGTGGATGGTCATGATTATCTTGCTGAGATTGTGGCAAATGCTCCAAACTTGTAGACATCTGTAACTGGTTAGTTAGACCTTGAGGATTACGTCTCATTGGATCTATGTGTCTTGGACCCTGAAAGTCCTGCCTAGGTATAAATCCTGTATGCCGCTGATGCTGGGGTGCTGGGTCTATAACATTAGCAGCAGAGGGATTAAAGGGGAGTCTTGGTCTGCCATCAGGGGCTCTGTGGCGTAACTCAATGAACGCTTGACCCAGTATATTGTGTTGCTGAACCTGAATACCCTGTGGTGGAAAATGCTGAGACAGTCCAGCTGGACTATTCATATGTGTGTTGTTCAATGGCCTAGGCATATCTATAGACAAAGATCTTCTCAGCTGTGGTGGAACTCCAGCGCGTTGCATTTGCTGTTGAGGCCCAAGAAAACGTTCTTGACCTGTTGGTGGACCATGTCCACCTCCTGGAAACCCAAATCTGAAATCAAAGATTAATTAAAGAATTAGTTCTCTTGATTCATTTGGCCCACCTGATCTGGCATATTTCAGAAAATGACTAATCTCTTAAATGTTTTACATATTATGTTCTTTAGTGCATTTAAATAAATATTTTATTTTGACCAATCTCAAACTTAAGTGAGCTTTCTGAACAGAATAAAAAAATTAACTAAAATAACTATTAATTATGCTTAAATAAACATCTTGTGCTGTACCAACCCCTCAACCCAAATAAACTTGGATAAAAATGCTTCTTACAGCAAAAACTATCTTGCTAGACAATCCATATTTTAATTGAACTCAGTAAGCATAAAAAAAATTAGGGGACCAACCCCCCCCATTATTTCAGTATTGATATTTATTTCACATCTTGGCACTACTTAAAAAAATAATGACATAGAATACAAGTCGTTTCTTGATTGTGTATACTTTACACAAGGACAATAATATTTCATTGATGCCATATTAATAAATGAAAACTAAAACTGGATTAAATAATTTTCTTTATAAATGCCTAAAAATGCAGTTTTGTGGGCCTTGTGTACACAGGTGGCATAATGCAAGGAAAAAAATTCCCATCCTTCATCTCCCCCAAACTGACAAAAACCCAACAATGTATTACTAAGTTTTAATTGCTGAACAATTTCCAGTAACACACACAATCAACCAGTGCAAAAATATAGGCTGCAATAACCTCAGATGCTTACATGCATACTTAACTTCATATATTGACTTCAATGTGATTACACAGGTGCTTAAAGCTAAACACGTGTATAAGTGGTTACAGGATTGGGGCCGCGGTAGGCAAATTACATCAGTGTAGCACAGGCCATCTTACTGGAAATCCTTATAATAGTTTAGAACTCTCTCTTAAACACTTGTTTTAAGAAATCAAAAATCATACCGAAGACCATGAGGCCTCATTCCCATGGCTGTCATATCTCCTGGAAATTGGGGTCTATTAAACTGCCCATCAGAGGGAAATGGTCCACGTTGATCTTTTGGGAATACTGCGAACCTCGGACCACCTGGAGGGATGATGGATGCTCTAATATTCCCAGGGTAGGGAGGAGGAGGTCGGTTAAAAATCTGATTTAGATTTTCTTGCTGCCAGTGTTGATGCGGAGCTGCATGGGGAGGCGTGGCTGGATCCTGTAGTGCTTTTTCCTGACGGATAGCATTCTTCTTCTGCTGCTGCTGCTGCAGAATAATTTCACGCAACTTCTGGCGCTGGTTTAAAAAAAAATATGATGTTCACTATTGAAATAAATCTACTTTCAAAATGTAAAGTCCCCCAGAGCCAAGAATCTTGTATAAACGGAACAATCTTCCCTCCCACTCAGTAGGAAAAAAACCCTATAATTCCCTTGCAAATTAATCAAAAACCAGATGACATGATTCAGGGAATTGATAAGAGGCTAGTGAGACCTTTCACCTCAAGGACCCCTATTCACCAAGGGTCTGTTGATAAACTGAATAGTAAATTGCTTGACCACACTTTAGTTCGTCATGAAATATATTCAAGAGACCAAACAACCAATACCAGTCAGTTTTATTGCTCAAAGTCAATAACAATATAGTACAGGAAGAAAGGCTCAATCGGAGACCAGTTTCAGGAAAGCCTTCTCATGCAGTGTTGTTAAATTCACCTTACAAAGAAGGTGCTTCCAAAGTTACAATGCTAAAGCTATTCTTTTTATACTCATCCTGTTTGCATGTAAAAAGGTACTCTGTGCATCATCTGAAATTAGATTTAACCAATCAGCTTCCTATTTTGTTTTTCTGATCCCATGGTACACCCCCTATCTCTTTGTTCTGAATACAGGCATTCCAGGTACCAAAGGACATGAAGGCGCTTCCTAGGTGTGTACCAGGGTAGAACAATCATTTAACTTGTCCTTTTCCTTTGGGACATTCCAGTACTGGTGTGTGAGAGTAACTCCTTACCGATTGTTATGGTAAAACACCCATATGTCTAGATCCTGACAATTTTCCTACCTACGTAAGCCAAAATTTACTTCAACTAATGCAAGGTGTTATGGGATATTTGACACAGGTGAACAGAATAGTGGGGAGAGGATAATACATTCAGTTAACATAAGAATTCACACTTACATTAATACTATGCCTAACGTATGTGTCTTGGCTAACAGGCCAGATCACTAATGTTAGCACAAGGAGCTGTCATATACACTTTTGTGCCCCAATGGTGCCCTTGTGCCATAAGGAGAGGTGAATTCTGAAGGAGGAGAGGTGATCAGAAGTTCTGCTAGGGAAAACTGCTTTTGGTTTAACAGCAGTAGCAGATACTACCCTGGCCATGCCCCCTTCCTGGCCAGCACTGTCAATTTTTAGGCTGCATTAGGCTCCTAGAGCTCCTTCACGCAAAAGGAGATTAAGCTACTTTCCACAACTCTAACCTCAGCCTCATCTCCATCCCAAGGTGGACTTTCTGCCTTCTGATCTTTGTCAGAATCTACACTAGCATAATCCCAGAAGGAATCTGGTCCAGGGCAGCAGTGATCAAGAGACGTTACTATCTAATACTTATTTGCTATTTGGTGGTTTATGTGACATGATTTGGTGTTCTTGGTCCAGTTCCTAATGGTCAGGTGGAGATATTGCAGAAATCACCAACATAATTGATGTCAGCATTCTCAAACAGAGAAAGGACGAATTTGCATGGAAACCAATCTACCCCATAACCTCTAGCAAAGGTCCCTCCAAATAAGCGTGGAGGCACACTTGTAGAGGACTGTGGGTGAACTCAAACAGCCAATAACCCTGCTGTACCTAGCCTGTGGATAAACAATTGAGATCATTACAATATTTTTTATCAGTGTCTTTACTCTTCCTTTAAAGCCAGGATACATAAATACTATTAAACACCTCACAGGTCTGTCCAACAGTTCAAGTTCTTGAAGGTAAAGAAAACTTTTAATCTGTAATATTTAGAAATCTCAAAAAATGACACAAAATAGTTTTTATCTACATTCGAATGTCACAATTTTAAGGTCCAATAGCCTGAGATGTGTCAAGGCCAGAAATAATCACATTATATCAGAGGTGACAAATATTCTATGCAGAATGCTGAATTACATTTTCAGTCATGGTCAGTGGGCCAGGGCTACACGGTTAGGTTCATTCAACAGCTCCTCAATCCTCACTGTATCTCCTTCTGATGATGCTGGGAAGTTTGCTAACAAAACTGTGGGTAGAAGAAGGCCCTGTGGTAGCAACTGTAATTTAGTTACAGTAGAATCTCAGAGCTATAAACACCTCGGGAACAGAGATTTTTCATAACTCTGAAATGTTCCGTAACTCTGAACAAGATGTTATGGACTTCAGCCAGAGGGTGGTTGGGGCTGCAGGCGTGCGGGTGGGTGGTTGAGTCATGGCCCCAGGTTGGGGCTCAGGGTTTCTGCCCTGCGGAAGCACCAGAGCTCAAGGCTTGAGACCTGGGGGGAGCACTGGGGCTCAGGGCTTCAGCCCTGCAGCTCTGTTTCCGGCTTCTGCCCTGCAGGGGGCGCCAGGGGCTGAAGTGCCGAGCCTCGGCACCCCCTGTGGGGCTGAAGCTGGGAATGGAGCCACAGGGTGAAGCCATGAGCCCCAGCACTCCCCCCAGGTCTAAAGCCCTGCGCTCTGGTGCTCCCGAGAGTCAGAAGCCCTGGCCCCGCCACCTTGCCCGGAGCCCTGACCCTCCGTCACGCAGCTGCAGCCCCAATTCTCTCTTGCCCAACCCCCCCCGCTGAAGCCTTGAGCCAAAAGCCCAGAGGCAGAACAGTATTTGCTTTTTTTCCTGTGTGTGTATCTACTGTTGCCTGATTAATTACTTCCGGTTCCACAGGGTGTCCGGTTGACTGGTAAGTCCGTAACTCTGGTGTTCATATCTTTGAGGTTCTACTGTAGTAAAATTACTGTTTTATTCAGCATCTATGGGGGGGGGGGGGAGAGAAACTAAGCAGAGCACTTTTGAGATCACATCTACTTCTGACACTTATTTGGTCATTTGCATGAGTAACTCCTTAGTTTCAATGTATAATAGCATGCCTACATTTTTTGAAAACCTGGTAAGTAAAGTGTAATAATTAAACTTCAGATTTAACACACTTCTCAATGGCAGCAGTTTACATCTCACTTGGGGTCTGATCCTACACCATCAAGTCAATGGGAGTTGTGCCATTGACATCAATGAGTGTAGGATCAAACTCTTAGGCTATGTCCACACTGCAGGTGTAACAGTTGCACGGGTAGGTATGTACTAGCTTTAATCTAGCTTGTGTAGGTAACAATAGCAGTAAAGATGTGTGGCGTGGCCTAACCACCCCAGTACAACCCTTCTGGGGCCCTAGGTACATACTTGGGTTGCTAGCCAACACTGAGGTCCATGTTGCCACATCTTCATTACTACTCTTACCACCACTAGCTAGATCAAAGCTAGCATCAGTATGCCTATTCATGCTACAATATCACCTTAATTTATGGTGTAGAAATACCTTCAGACTAGACAGCACTATCTTAGTCAAAATTGAGAAACTTTTCTTCATAAACATAAGAATTAGAAACTTACTCCTTAAAAATATTGAAATCTTGCATTCTACATATTCTGATTTTGTTAGATGGGCCGGGGAAACATGTCAAGTGGCCAAGGGCTGGCCAAAGGGCTTTGTTATAAACCGGGGGTGTGAAACACAATGTAAAATGGGAGATTCCTCTAACTGTGACATTTTAATAGCATAAACATTAAATTGTATACTGAGCTCACCTGTCTTAGTTTCTCTGTGTCTGCCTGAGACATGTTCATGGTATTCGGTGTATCCGTTACTCCTGTAGTTGGTGCTGGGCCAGAAACTTGTGAGACTGTGGAAAACTGCTGCCCTTGAGAGCTCATTGGAGAATTTGCAGATGCATTAAAGTTGCCCTCAGATCCAGACCTTTGCTGATCAGCTTCGTGGGCATGCTGACTAGTTCCAAAAGTTTCTGGCTGAGGTCTTGGAGTCATTGGAGGCTGATCATAAGGATCATGTGCTGGGGCTGCTGGAGCATGGCTAAATGATTCTGTTACAGCAGGTCCTGGAGTTTGAGAACATGGATCGGGTGGTCTTACAAAAGTGCCCTGCAGAGCAGTTCCTCTGTTTTGGGATGTCTGCAGGAAAGGATCTCGATTTGGCATTAGTCCTGGTCTTACCGTGGGTCTGTTAAAATTCTCTGGAATCCCCGGCCTTGGAGTTGCTGGTGGCTGAGAATACGGGTCATTAATAACTGGCCTTGGCGTTCCAGGAGGTTGAGCATATGGATCAGAATGTCTCTGATTTGCTGGAGACTGAACAAATAAATTTGCTGGCTGTGCAGGTCTTGGTGTGGGTGGTTGCTGCATATATGGATCAACAGTGGTGGGTCGAGGTGTTCCTGGAGGTTGGGAATAAGGGTCAGCAGCCGGCCGAGGAGTACCTGGAGATTGGGAATAAGGGTCCTGAGAGGCTGGCCTTGAAATGGGTCCAGACTGAGAGAAAGAGTCACTCTGCTGTCGCATTACCCGGGGTGGATGGGCAAAAGGCTCCTTTATTGCAGGGTGAGGAGTCAGAGGAGGCTGGCTATAGGGATCATTAGACTGATTGTGGGAAAAGCTATCCACTGGCCTTGGTGTCAAAACAGGCCTTTCATATGGATCAACAGCAATGCGTCTTGTTGTTGGTGGCATTGATCCATAAGGATCTTGTGGGGACTGTGGTGGACGCATTGGAGTTTTAAAGGGTCCAGGGCTGCCATCAACAATGGGAGTAGGAGTCAGGGGTGGTCGTGCATATGGATCAGCAGGAGGTATTCTCTGTCTTTGAAATATATCAGTTCTCGGAGCTGGTTTAGTGAATGCATCATTGCTTCCAGTTGTTAAAGGAACGTTCCCTGATTGTTCCATGATTATGGGAGATCTTGGTACCCCCAAAGGTTTGGGGAACTGATCTGCTGCCATTACAGGTCTGGGTGTATCTGGTGGTTTTGCATAGGGGTCATTGCTAACTGGAGATGAAGAACATGAATCTCTGACTGGTGAAGGCCTGCTTCCTGCTGGTTCACTTACTTGAATGGGCCTGGATACAGATGATGGTGGTGGACAGGTATCCATTGGTGTAATGGTACTTCTTCTGACAAAGTTTTGGTTAACAGGTGGTGGCCTAGGTGTTCCCACCATTTTAGCATAAGGATCCATTGGAGAGGGCGGTCTAGAGTTTGTAGTACTTGGAGGAAACATCTGTTGTGACGCAGGCTGAGGCGTCTGTGACTGAGCAAGAGGATCCTGTACTGGCATTCTAGTTGGGGTTGGGGGTGGAGGTGGTGCTTGTGGTTTGAGAAACACATCATCTGAGGATACTGAAGTAGGGGTTCCAGGTAGTTGTTGTTTTGTAAATAGGTCTTTGTGGAATGTCTGTTGAGCAGGAGACATATTTCCATTGCCAGTCTGAGGAGTTAAGGGGCTCTGTATCCCACTACTAGGTGTGTCTGAGCCAGACTGGTTCAGAAGCTGTTGTGAACCAAACTGTTGTTGTTGTTGTTGCTGCTGCTGCTCATTTTTCACTTGCTCAAGTTTTTGTGTGGCTTCAATTTTGGCTTGCTGCTTACTTTTCTGACGCATTTGCTGGTTTAAGATGGGAAGAGAAAAGGTTACATTTATTAGTCCCGGGAACATAAGCAAGGGCATTTTGATGACTGAGCATCAACAAATTAGGATCTTTAGAGACATATGAGAACGGTTAAGAATAATTTAAAAGCTTAAGTACAGTGGGGGCAGAATGCCTGATCGTTTATGAAACTAAATTACATTGGCAAACTCCCCATTGACTGATTGGGGAAAAGTATTTCCCAGATTCCCAGAGGAACAAAGCCGCTTGCCAACCTTCCATACTAAAGAAGTGATGCAGCCTCATTAACAAGCGGTAAAGGGCTTTGGAGTAACAGAAAAGTGCCAGCCTCATTTAAAGTGAGAGTACCCAGGGTGAAGGCCTTTTCTGTCACCTATGACAGAAAAGGGCATACACCATTGCTCTTAGCTGGCCCCACAGAAAAAGATAATTAATTATGTTAACAATCAACCGAAGTGGTAAAAATAAGTCAAATATTTTTATATATCTTTTCTTCTTATGACCAAAATCTTCACTCTATGCAGAGTGCATGTTCTTAATTTATATCTCCTTCCTTGGATAGATTAAAATTGATTTTAATCCATTAAGCACAGCAACTACCAATAAAAAAAATCCCACATTATGGCCAAAATATCCCACAAAATAAATGACCAAATGTAACACACCTGTCTGAATTTCCACTCCTGCTCATGTTCCGATTCCCTCTGCTTTAAAGGATCTTTAAAGAGGTCTGAGTCGATTCGAGAGCTATGATCAATACTATCCTGTTGCTGCTGCCTTTTCATGGAGTCATTTGACATCTGCACTTTATTGATGCGCAGAGCAGCTCTATTATCTCTGGCTTTTTGCTGAGAAAAAATAAAATACAAGTAATTTTTCTTTTCTTTTTTTTGATATGTGTAAGTACTGCATCCACCCATTCTTCCTACAAAATCTACAACCAAATTATTTATGTGGTCTGATTTAATCGCACACAATCATGAACAAACTAGGTTACTCTCTTGTAACCAGAACTACTAACTGCAAGTCTATAGTCTTGACAAAGCTGCAGTGTGGGATTTGTGTATGCCAAACCATGTTAGGCAAAAGAGTCAGTAACAATACAGGCTTTAAATGTAGGTTAGGAGATTCTGTTTATGTGCAGCACAGGGCCAAAGAAATACAAATATACCAATACATATGTGAAGTCTTATATTTGTGCGGTCCCAGATCTGAAGAAAACAGGCGGCTCCCAGGTACGATGAATCAACAGAGGTTTATTTGGACTCATTTGGAGAACTTCACTTACAGGAGAATAAGATGCACTAGTGGACTACATTAAATAGCCTCCATGCATCCCACTGAGTCAGGCTAGCAGTACAAGCATAGGATTGAGGGTTAAGGACAAAGAAAAATTGGACTGCACAATAACAACTCTTCAGATAAGCATTTTCAAGCAATAATGGAGCTTTTAAACTTTGAATGGCTGCTTCAGGGAGTCGCTTCTGGCTGACATTTTGAATCTGGCTCCTTCTGAGTATCAAATCCTGACAGTTGCTTTTTCAGATTTATGTTACAGTTCTCAAATGTATATTGCACCTTTCAGAAATGAACCTTTTAAAAGATTTAAAAAAGCAGTCAAGGATGAGAGCCGCATGGCCATAATGGCAGCTGAATTAATGCCTGCAGCTTCTTACAAAATCCTCAAGTTGGTGTGACATTTTTGCTCCCCTTTTAAAGCGATCGGTACATATTAAAAAGTGATAAGGTAAAGAAAGCAACAGTAAGAGCAGGAAAGCTGGCTTTTGAGCTTCAGTCACTTGGTAGTTTTAATTATCTTATTCAGCGTGAAAGCTCTTAGAGGCGGGGACTGTGGTTTCTTCTATGTTGGTAGAGGGTTAATCACATTGATAGTACACAAATAACCATCAGCACACATTTAGATTGCAAGCTCTTTGAGGAAGAGAGTGTCTCTTACTAGGTGTATGTACAGCACCTAGCATATTGATCTTGGTTGGGGCCTCTAGGTAATATAAATAAATAAATGGATGTAGTTTATATTAAGACTGAATGGCTGAGAAAATAGCTTTAGAAACAAGTTCTAAAATTACAGAGGTCTAAAACTGCATCTTCTGGAACCTTAGAGTATGTCTACACTACCCGCTGGATCAGGGATAGATTTATCGTGTCTAGTGTAGACATGATAAGTCGATCCCTGATCGCTCTGCCGCAAACTCCTGTACTCCACCGCGACGAGAGGTGGAAGCGGAGTCGACGGGGGAGCGGCAGCAGTAGACCCTGCGCCGTGAGGACGTGAGGTAAGTTGACCTAAGATACGTCGACTTCAGCTACGCTATTCTCATAGCTGAAGTTGCGTATCTTAGGTCGATCCCCCCCAGTGTAAACCAGGCCTTACTAGTTTTAAAACCAAACACCCCACAGATTAAATGTACAAATGCTAGTTTTAGTTATTGTTACCACATATGGTGCTCTTTCTTGTGAGCTTGCTTTTCTCCACAGTTTAGCAATCTGCTTCACTCTTGTAGTCCAGTCTGCAACCAAAACCAACATATTGTTTTAGTTTGCAGGGTTTTGATGATTTTATAATTCTTCAGACAATTTTTATAAGTAGAAATAGTTAATGCTTTGGTGAAGAAAGGTGTCTAACAGAACTGTTACAAAATTTGTGCCCCTACACAATAAATCACTCCCTTACCTGGGAATTCTTCCTTTAGGTTGGGGAAGTTGATATTTGTGTACAGAACAGGTGCTACTGTTGCCATTTCACCAAGTGCTTCTTCTTTTTCCCACTTCAGAGTGCTTCTTTGAGCATTGGACATCGTATCCCCTTCTCCTTCCATAGGGGGAGCAGATGGTGTCCATGAACTATTAGGATCATTTACCACTGGATTAAATGCTGGGTTCTTATCCCTGACAAATCAAAACAGATGTTTAATTTTTTAATTTTCCTCTCAATATAATATGAAAATTTATTTTATAAACACTCTGTTCACTACTCCAGATGTTAGTATCATGTCTTTTGAAAAGATTTAAAAGAGCAAAAATGTTTTAAAACTTATTTAATATTTCTGTCAAATAATAAACATTTAAAATGTGCAGTGGCAAGTATGCTTCTCTGATACCACTCAAGCTAGGCTAACTGTTGAGTAATTCCATATTCTTCAGCTTGACTTACCTGGTATCACTGTACGGTGGTTGTGTAATAGGAGAGAAAGTGCCTAGTCCAGCTCCAGGAGCCAAAGGTGTATGAGGGAGATGGGGGGTAAGTCCAATCAGGCCATTCATAAGTGGTACTCTTGAAAACACACTTTCCCCTGGAAGGCAAAAGTTGAAATGATCAATGTAAAGAACGAGTGTCTGAAGGCTTTCAAGGTGTTCAAGACAAACTTTGGTGAGGAATAGGCCTTTAGTCTAATGAGAAACTACTTATTGTACATTCTATGGTGCTAGTTGTGAATACATTTATGCTATAAATTAGAAGGTTTCTAACCCTCAGAGGAGTGAGGTTCCAGTATAGCTTCCAATATCAGTAGAAGGAGGAAGTGGCCTAACTATTTTTAAAATGGAGCTTGATAAGATTATATGACAGGATTAAATGATGGGACTGCCTGTGATAGGAGGGGACTTGATTCGATGACCCAGGAGGTCCCTTTCAGTCCTACATTCCTATGTGCCAACTTTAACCTTTTGGAGAGGAGTTATGAACATATGACAATCTCCACCACCATAAACTTTAGTGAGCCCTTTCCTTTATATCCAATCAGTATGTACATGTTTCTTATGATTTTGGCAAGCCAAAGGATTCTTTGAGAATTTCCCATCTTAACTCATTTTATATCTCAGGCTAGCCTGTGTTATATTATTCCATCTTACATATATGTATCTTTTGGGGTGGGGAAATAGATGAGCAATTTTGAGCATTTATTTTTATTTAGTTAGTGATTTGAATATCTGTTAATACTGCTTGGTTACATATTAAATACTTGGAAATGAGTTCATGAAAAATAACCTAAAATTCACCAAAAGGTGCACACAACTCTTCTATATATGGGTGTGCAGCAGGCCCCAGATCCTTTGTTTATTTGAACATATTTTCTTTTACTGTTGGCAACTGTATCCATGGGGCCTACAATCAGCATCTAGGATCTCCTGCTTCTACAACGGAAGTAACTGGTTGTTGTCCAAATATATAAGGGTGAGGAACACAGTGGGGACAATAGATAATGATAATAGATAATAATAAAAGCTAAGCCCCTTCAGCTGTAATGTAGCAACTAAGATTGTCTGGTTGGCATCTAGCAAAGACTAGAACATGGCTTACAGACTGCTCTATAGTATCCCAGGCTGCCAACCATTGTGATATTTCTAGCCTTCAAAGTTCTCCCCTAAAGGAGATGATGCCAGATTTTCCATGATGCCAGATAACAGACAAGAAGGCACTGCACACAATCTCCTTTCACAATTCTTAAATAAATATTAACCATTTAATTAGGAATCTCCTCTTCCGAGATGGTTGGTATACCAGAGTAAAACTTTCTAACATATGATTTCTACACTCTTATCAATGAAATAAATAAATCTAGTCAAATGTACCTCAATATTTCAATAAAATATTAAGTCTAGCAATTTTACACCACTATTAAGGCAGAGCATTTTATTTGTATCATTAAAATATTAGTGCAGACATGACACAGGAACAAACTGGCCATGTAATCTATTACCTCTCGTTTGCTTTAAATTATCTCATTTTTAGAACTTCTTGAAGTCTTATATTTTTCTAGAAATTCATCCAGATTAAGAAACAAATTATTTTTTCCTTTCTTAGGATATCTGGTGGTTCTAGAATTACTCACTACTGAAATCAATTTAGATACTGGAATAGATTTCTGAAGCACAAATACATCATAATGGGCTCTCTGCTTGCACCTGAGCTAGTGCCAACTTTACTAGAGATGCTGGCTGATGAGAAAAGAATGCTTTTATAATTATGTGCCTGGATATTATGTAAACCACGGGTTCCCAAACTGTGGGCCGCAACCTAAAAGTGGGCCACAACACAGTGCTGGGTGGTCTGTCGGCAGAGGGAGAGATTGGGGGTAGGGTAGGACGATGTTGCTCCCCCAAAACTATATATATTGGTGTAGTCGCGGCTGGCGATGACCCTCACCAGGGTCAGAGGAGCCTAGCGTCCCCGGCAGGTGACAAGAGGGTGAAGCGGAGCTGCCAAGCAAGGAAAAGGGGTCAGCCAAGAGGTGGCGGCACTCAGGGCGGCTGGAAGGTTTGCATCCATTCCCACTCTGAGCCAGCGTGATCTGTGGCTATCAGGACCCCTGGAGTATCAGCCCCACGGCCCTCCCAGGGACCTGGGCTCAGTACTCCCGCTCTGTTTCCTCCTGGACAACGCTATGATCAGGACTGTCACAGGTAACGGCCAGGCCCAGCCTGAGCGCCTGCCTCTGCCCAGCACTTTGGACTCCCAAGCTCCTCCCTTGTTCCTGAGCAAGGAGTGCCTGTGAGGCACGCCAGGGTGCTGGGTGAGTGACTGAGGGCACGGCTGTCAGGTGATGAGCTCAAGGCACTCAGCGGGCTGCTGAGGTAGAGGGTGTCAGCAGGGGCAGGCTGTGGCACCTGCCTGGCCCCTTCGCCTTCTTGCTTGTCCTGGTCCCTGCTGAGGCGAGGGGCCAGACGCCCTATGGTGTCACTCTCCCTGATGGAACCGTGTTAATAGTGGGCTGAAATGCATAATGCAGCTGCACAGGTGCGCCTCACGGAACAAAGCTTGGGAACCCCTCACGTAAACAACCCATGAAATACCATTGATGGGGCACTCAGAGTGAAAACCTAGAATTCTAGGATACATATTCCAGCATTTTTTCAGAAAAATCTATCCAGGATAATAGAACTAAATAAAGTAAGCCTGATAACCAGCCTTCTTCTGGATTCATGGCTTGGGAAACAGATTTGATTTGGTTTTGCAACAACAACAAAAAAGGCATCTGTCCCCTCCTTCCCTATAATTGAAATATTTGCAAAATTATGCTAACTCTCTTTTCCTTGTTTGAATAGTGTTAGTCAACTTTCTTAAATTAACCTTTTTACAGAAATTCGACTGAATGGCACTGTCACATTTAGACAAAAATGTTATAATTAAGGGGCAGATTAACTCCTTCACCGTGAGAGTGTGCTTAAATGTACTGACAAAGCAATGAGACAAAATGTCATAATAGGAGCCCTGTTTTATTACAGACCACTTACAGTACTATACCATAGTAACAGCTCCAGTATTTCACAAAAAGTCTGTCTAACAAAAGATCGCTTTTCCTCTCAGATATCGAAATCCATTCACATATGTATCAGACACTCAATTTCAAAATGATTGGTGAAAGAAAGCATACAGAGTATTTACCCTAGCATAGTTTATCATCATATTTATACTATGAAAGATACACAATTGGTTTTGTACAGCCCACTTTGAAAAGGAACAGAAGACATACCCTGATTGTGTAAAGGCATTAACTGAGGTGGAGGCTGTGGCAAAGGAGTTGGCTGAGTGGTTGCAGGACTCAGTACAGCAGTGAACAAGTCTTCCACATCCTTTCCTCCCAGCTCTGCAAAAATAATATGCATAACTTGGCAGGTACTGTTATATAAACTAAATTTAATAAAAGATAGCAACGCTCAAGAACACATACCTGGAATTTTGTACAGTTTACCAAGAATTGCACCTGGTCAAAGTAAATATAACACAAAATTAGCAATGATTCATTTCACTCTTCTAGATAAAACATAATAAAATTAATTCTGTAATTGTAAGTGCAAAGGCTAATTTTAAAATTACATAGTAATAATAGAAAATAGGAAGCATTTGCTTAAGTATTCTACAAGATCAACATGTAAGACAAACATTTTACCATCTGTGACCATTTTGTCTAGTTCTGGACTGAGAATTCCATCTAATTGTTCTTCACTCAGGGGCCGTGAACTCTGATTGACACTTGGCTGAGGCAGAGAGGAAGGATCATCAGAGATGGGACCAATATCTAGTCCAGCTGAAGGGGTAAGAATATTAAGTCAGCTGTAAACAATGAAATCTACTGACACAGGACAAAGGACATAAAACATTTCCAAAATTATTTTTGGTTACAATTTAGTTGTAAACTAAAGCCATCTGCTAAAATCTAAAAGTTGATTTTCAAGGGAAAATAAGACATCAATAAAAATCAGAAAATATCGGATTTAGATTGCTCTATAGTTTGAGGAAGACATCTAATTCAATTAAATACTTAGAATTAGACTTTGAACCAAATTTTGTTGTAACGGGACTTCTAAATTTAGTCACTGAATGTTTTCAAACATTTAATTCTCTAAGGCCTGGTCTACACTGTGGGGGGAGGGGGGAGGGATTGATCTAAGTTACGCAACTTCAGCTACGTGAATTACATAGCTGAAGTTGATGTACTTAGATCTACTCACCGCGATGTCTTCACTGTGGTGAGTCGACTGCTGACGCTCTCCCGTCGACTCTGCCTGTGCCTCTTGCTCCAGTGGAGTACTGGAGTTGATGGGAGAGCGCTTGGCAGTCGATTTATCGCATCTAGACTAGACGCAATAAATCGAACCCCGCTGGATCGATCGCTGCCTGCCGATCCAGCGGGTAGTGTAGACAAGCTCTTAGAACTTTTTATTTTGTTCATTTTAAAAATAGGAATTTCCTGCAGCAGGTACATTTAAACCTGACTGAAAGTTACCTTTGATCTTAAGTATCCCCCAAAACTCCCATGATTCCTGCTGTGTTAGATTAAAAATCTACTAAAACACAGTTCATACTAGTAAATATCTGGCGTATATTAAAATGGCAGCAGCTTCTACTTTCAAAACAGAGCTAAAATATTCTGCATTAAATTAGAAAATACAATTGTGGGTGTTGAGAAAATACAATTGTTACTTTTTCTGTGACATGTATAATATCCTTTTAAAAGTTAAGAAAATATCTCAGAAGCAACAGAAACTTGGTAATACTATACACAATTGACTTTAGTATTTGAAAGGTATTGCAGCACCAAATTCCAACTAAGAACCACCTTTAAAATAATGTAGCATGCTTCTTCTAGTTATCATAAATCTGTGTTTTATATAGAAGTTTTATGTAAAAGTGATCAATCATCACCAGTGATAAAAAAAAGACTGATGTTGATCTTTTTATTCATGCTTTATACATTGACATAATTAAGATGTGTTTTTAAGTTAAAAACAAATATATCACTAATACTACTATATGTAATACTGTCAAATATGAAAGAAAGCAAGAAAATGCATAGTTTTGCATTGTGAAACACAAAAACAGCAAATTTATTAAAAAATTCAAAAGAAAACTCTCTAGAATTCTATCAAGTGCACAGTGCAGGTTTTGTAAGTTGTGCTTGGCTCAAACAACACAGAAAGATAGCAAAAAATGAAAGCATGGATTAGTTACACAGAGCAACGAAGCACTAACATCTATGCATGCACAAACAGTTCTTTCAGCTGAAACCACTAGGAAAGATGACTACTTCTAACCACGGGTCATCCATTGTTTAGTTTCTTACCAAATGGGGAGGGTGAGTTCTCAACCTGGAAAGTGCATAAATCAAGACCTACAGGACCCAAACCAGATAAAATGGATGATTATAACAAGAGAAAGAAAAACAAAACAAAAAAAACCTAAGAGCATACACTGCTGCATGCTGAAAAAGCTACGCAGGTATGATAGACAACAGCAGCTGTTTTTATTCTCTTACAAGCAGCAAAGCAAAGGGCTGAGTAAAATAAAACACTGACAAGTTTTTGTTTTTTTGTAAAAGAAGAGATAAAAGTCCTTCTGAAATTGGAGTATACTTAAGATATAACAGTTACATAAATATCAAAGCCACACATCACATAACCTGTGAACATAACACATGAAATGTGTCTATAATCAAGAGAACAAAGAAAACAGCCACCAAGGAGCCCTTAAAAGCACATACCTGAATGATCTCCAGACTTTACTAAATCATCAGAAAGTATTCCAAGAATATCATCATCTGTGTTCAAGACCTCTGAAAGGTCAGCCAAAGGGTCATCAGAACTACCTATGTAAGATGCAATAAACTAAACATCAATACAACCATGATCATCACATATTTATTCAATTATTTGTCCAGTGATTTACATGGATTTAGCAATTTCCTAAATTTAGTAAATGTAATGAATGAGCATGTTGTAATGGAGACTGGATGATTTTAGGAAAAAACATATATGGAGAATTTCTAAAAAAAGAGAGAGAAAACAATAATCCCACACATTTAAACAAGTAAACCAACTCTAACTTCGTATATCATAATATGGAAGAATGTCTTAGGTAACCACACTGCACATAAGTACAAGGAGAAAATAAAGCAAAGTCAGGATAGGAAAAAAATTCTGTTTTATGAGAGTGATTTTCTTATTAATTATATTTTTGAGGGAACATCACATTTGAAGTTTTTCTTCAGCTATACTTATTCTACCTGGCAAATATCAATTGTATTGCCAACTCAAAGTGTCAAAAATTATGACTGGTTTAAAATTCATGACATTTAACAAAACAAAAACAATGTGGTTTTTTTTTTATTTGCCGTCTATTTTTTAAACCCATAGGGTATACTTGGAATGCATTTTCAAGCTTTTCTCTGCAAACTCTGAAGGTAAGAAACACACACTTTTTTTTTTGGTTTGTTTTTTAAATTTAAGCTTTCTTTCAAAATAACATGACTCCAGGATCTAAGGCTTTAAAAAGAAACACCCAATATCGCAAGATTCACAATAAAATTGCAATAGCTGGCAGCACTGAAAACATTAAAGAAAGATGAAATTTAAATTTTTACTATTGATGGGGAAGTTATGTTCACAAGTATCTTCACACACTGCAATTTATAATCATCTGGCTACCACAGCATTTAGTTCACAGTAATAATTATTTCTTTAAGGCTCAGTCCCGGAAATATGTATTTGTGAATAAAGTTACGAATATATGTACATGTTTGCAGGATCAGATCCTACCTCTAGCCTGGAATGAACGTTTGGGAAGTGTCCACCCTAGTCTTAACTTCAGGTAGTTTACATGTTTGTAAACAAATTGATAGTTAACTCTAGGTAAAAATATCTGTAGATAAACGCTTGAGCACAAATCACTGAATACCATGAAGCATTCCAATAGGATGAGTTTGACAAATAAATCAGAATAACTTAGAAAGGCTATCAAGAAAAGTAAAGACTACTGAAACCACCCGGAGAAGTACCTAAGGAGTAAAATATGAAGAGTAGACAGTAACATGGACAGAGATGGAGGCAAGTGAAGGTGGGCAGGAGAAAGAGGGACAGCAGTAAGACACAGACTAGACACACCACTAGAATGATAGAAACTAGAAATGGGAAAGATGTCTACATTGCAGCATTTCTAGTTCTATTCAGTCTAGTTTAACCTGGCTCAAGGGGTTGTGCTTCCAGAACTACTTCTGTGAGGCTACGCCACAGTCTTCTACACCTCACATGGCCTGAAGGTTTTTTCAGCTGTTTAGATTAAATTTTCCTTTCTTTAACTTGAATCCCACTACTCCTATAGGTTCTTCCCTGAACCATGCTAAAAATCAGAGTAGACGGCACACTAGACCTGACCCTCTTTGTATAATCACTTACACTCATGCAAAGTAGCTGTAGCATAGTACTGTCTTCATTGGGTAATGTTTTATGCTTCAAGCTCACTTTGCAATTTATAGGACAATATATCAGTGGAGGATGGCTACTAGATTGAGCTACATTATTGTGCATAGAGAACAGGGACTAATTATAATGAGGGAAGTACTTCAAGTGCCTCAGAAATGTGTCAGTTGTGGATAGTTTTTTATTTAATCAGTGTATCTGGTGCTACAAAAGACTATGGAATGTAAGTACAGTATTGTGAACAAAAGTTGATTCTGCTTTTGTGATAAAATTTTGCCTTTTGCATATTAACTTTTGCATTTTGGTGCCAGTACACTAATCATGCAAATGGTTGGGTACTTATGTATCACCACAAAGCGATGCTGATGATATAAGATGGCTTGCTAGCTTCTTAGCTGGCTAGCTAAAAGGATTAGATGCAGTCAACACTTGGCTTTTATGAAATTCCACCCAAGTATGCATACGTGGCCTATGGCAGAGTTATTGAAGCAGGAAAAAAAAAAAGCCTCCTAATGTAGCAAACACCCAGGCAGAATTAGCACCCTTCAGTTCTTCTGCAATATTTTTCCTATGCTGTGGCAGTTTTCCCTATAGGCTTCAATAAAGCTACCTGGGCACAGTCCTTAATACTTTAAGCACCTTTTAATTAAAACAAAAATCTTAATCTAAGTAGTGAGAAATGGCTCCGGGTGAAAAGATATAACTGAACAGAGCTTACTACTTAGACTGCCTCTCTGTTGGTCAGCTCTGTTCCTGTTGTGTTCACTGTCACTTACAAAAAAAAAAAGCTATCTTCCTATTTGTTCTACATTTTTTTTATTTTATTTTTTTATTTTTATTAAATTGAATGTGTGTTAAGTCTTATCTTGGAAACTGCCAAGTTGCTTTGGTCAGCTGCTTCAGATCAGAGCCAAAGGCTTGACACCACTTGTCACTTCCCTTGGCTGTTTTGGATTGGAGATGAAAACTAATGCCAAGCAAAAAGGAAAAATGACTTACCTGCATTTCTGGGTTCCTGGATGAACAGTTATATTGCTACCTTGTGGACTTCATTCCTCTGGTGCATTTATTTGTTGTTGTTTATTTAAATTCAAATAATAAAGATGCCTATCTAAGTCTCTAGGCTGTCTCACATAATTAATTACACAATACATAAAATTGAATTAAATCTCAGCAGCATTAAAATCAGTTCCAGTGGAACTGGGCCAACCACCTGCCTTAATCATTATCTGGGAAGCATACCCTCAGCCATCTCCAGAGACCATATCAAACAGATGTCTTTTGTAGCATGCCCAAATAGTCACCAAACAGGGGATATTTCAGACCAAAGGAGGGTAAGAGAGGTTGGAGGGGAGTGAGGGAGGGGGAGGAGGGAAAGAGAACAAGTTCCAGAGTCCCAGAGCCCTCACGGAGAATGTCCTACCAGCTGTCCCTCTCTTTTATAACAAGAGGGATCCAGCTCAGGTAACCCTGTTAACTGCAGCAGTGGCAGTATGGCCTGGAAAGAGAGAGAACCCCCCAGGGAGGCTGATCCCAGGCAATTTAGGGCTTTATAGGTCACAATCAACACTTTGAACTCCACCAATGGGCAGCAAGTGCATATCCTGGAGCTCTGGGGTCATGTGATCCCAGTATGATGCCCGGCTCAGTTATTGAGCTGCTGCATTCTGCACTAGATTCAGTCTCTGAATGGTTTTAAGGTGTGGCTGTGACAGTCTGTACCCTATATTCACCCCTTTTACATGACTATGATAAATCTGGTATAAAGTATGCCTTGTAATATCATTTGAAAACTTGTAATTTGCTGATCATATGTCCTGGTAAAATATGTGTGGCAACACTGCATGTAAAGTTAAAAGATTCCACTGTAAAGTATTATTAAGACATGTCCCAGTCTGGGGGAAGCAGCCACAAACCATTCCCCAGAGACAAAAGGCTAGCCAACGCCTCAACCAGGTGTCAATAAAATCAAATGGACCATCGCCTGGTTAAATGTCAATTTTTTGGCAGGAAAAAGGACGTGGGTGAAAATCTGTATCTTCACAAAGAAAGAGGAAGGGGTTCCCATTCACGCAGACTTTGTGTCTTCTGAACCTGAGCTGGAGATGATTCTTGAAGAAGAGAAAGAACTATGATAGAATCGAGTAGGCACCCCAAATAATTCCTCCTTTTCTCTCTACCCACAGCACCCACAATACCTGAAGAACAGAGGAAACAACTTTGGATTGGGGGAGACTCCTGACTGAAAGGAATTCAGCCAGTAAGATTGCTGTAACTTGTGGTGAGAGAGACCTTTGCTTTGAAATCACTTAGTTTGTTAAGTTAGGTATTAGTTGTGTTTTACTTTTATTTTCTTGTAACCAATTCTGACTTTGATGCCTCATTACTGGTAATAACTTAAAAACTATCTTTTGTAATTAATAAACTTGTTTTATTTTTATCTAAACCATGTGCATATCATTTTCTATTACTAAAATGATGGACTTTATATGAATTTGTATTGTCCAGGAGAGAGCTGGGCAGTACAAAATGTACATTTCTAGGGGGATGTCTGGGCCTGGGAATTTGTTGGTGTTGCTCTGCAGTGTAATTCATGGGTGGCTGGCTACAGCACTCTTACACCATTTCTTTTGGCCCAATCCTCTAATTTGTCTAGGTCCCCCTGTATCCTATCCCTACCCTCCAGCGTATCTACCACTCTTCCCAGTTTAGTGTCATCTGCAAACTTGTTGAAGGTGCAGTCCACGCCATCCTCCAGATCATTAATGAAGATATTGAACAAAACCGGCCCCAGGACCAACCCTTGGGGCACTCCGCTTGATACCGGGTGCCAACTAGACATGGAGCCATTGATCACTACCCGTTAAGCCCGACGATCTAGCCAGCTTTCTATCCACCTTATAGTCCATTCATCCAGCCCATACTTTTTTAAACTTGCTGGCAAGAATACTGTGGGAGACCGTATTAAAAACTTTGCTAATTTCAAGGATTAACATGTCCACTGCTTTCCCCTCATCCACAGAGCCAGTTATCTCATCATAGAAGGCAATTAGGTTAGTCAGGCATGACTTGCCCTTGGTGAATCAATGCTGACTGTTCCTGATCACTTTCCTCTCCTCTAAGTGTTTCAGAGTTGATTCCTTGAGGACCTGCTCCATGATTTTTCCAGGGACTGAGGTGAGGCTGACTGGCCTGTAGCTCCCCGGATCCTCCTCCTTCCCTTTTTTAAAGATGGGCACTAGATTAGCCTTTTCCCAGTCATCCAAAACCTCCCCCAATCGCCATGAGTTTTCAATGATAATGGCCAATGGCTCTGCAATCACATCCGCCAACTCCTTTAGCACCCTCGGATGCAGCGCATCCGGCCCCACGGATTTGTGCTATTCCAGCTTTTCTAAATAGTCCTGAACCACTTCTTTCTCCACAGAGAGCTGGTCACCTCCTCCCCATGCTGTGCTGCCCAGTGCAGTAGTCTGGGAGCTGATCTTATTCGTGAAGACAGAGGCAAAAAAAGCACTGAGTACATTATCTTTTTCCACATCCTCTGTCACTGGGTTGCCTCCCTCAATCAGTAAGGGGCCCACACTTTCCTTGACCTTCTTCTTGTTGCTAATATACCTGAAGAAACCCTTCTTGTTACTCTTAACATCTATAGGTCTATAGCCAGACTGACAAGGGGTCAAGGAGATCAAAGTCTTCCAGATACTGTGAAAGCTGTCTCTCCACAACCTTCTCCACAATCTTAGTCAAAAAGGGAAAGATGTGATATTGGTTGATAATTAGCAAGATTGCAGTGTCCAGTGATGACTTCTTGAGCAAAAGTAGTGCTAATGCTTCCTCTAAGAGAGATGTTGACAACCTCCACAAGTAAGAATTTCCTCTCTGGCCTTCATCAGCCAGGAAAAATAGGGATCCAAAGCAAAGGCTGAGGAACAAAATTCTCCCAACACCTCTAGTACCTCAGGGAACATTACTGGCTGAAATTCCAGGAGTGAAGACAAGGCCCTTGTTCTCTCAAGACCTTGTTTTATCACCCCAGAAACAGATAGCCCATCCCTAATCTGATCAATATTGTCCACAAAAGAGCAAAACAATTTCCTTACAATGGGAGGGACTCAGACCAGCTACCGAGCTGAGACAGTCCAGATTTACCAGACTATCTACCATCTGAAATAAATCTGCTGTTCAAAATTTTGCAGATGCTATCGTGGAGGGAAAGAACTGTTTCTTGGCCACACACACAACCATAGCACAAGAGTTTATAAAAAAATCTTTATGCTGAAACCAATCAGACTAGGCATGGGACTTCCATCACTGTCACTCCAGCCATCTCATGGTGTATAACAAGATGGAATATGCACAAGTCATAGTTCTGACTCACTGAAATCTCAACAGCAGGATGGATACATCTGCTGACTTGGCATTCCGATAAATCTATAGTGGCTGCCGATAATTATTGTTATACTTATGTTTACAGAAGTTTAAACTAAGCCTATCTGGTTCTCTGTTTCTCAGAATTTACTCTTTGAAACATTTTTGTTTTGGAGTGAACTTTTCCACATTTTGTCTCAGTTTAAACCATTTTTTTTTGTTTTGTTTTAAAGTTCCTGGGCTCTCAGGCTTTGTGTCCCAAAATGGATTGAGACTTCTAGAGTCCAGAAAATCAGAAAGAGGTGCATGAGGAATGAGTCTTCTAACCCCTCTTCCTGGGGAACAGGTCTCCAAGGCCCTCTGGTTGGTAAGGTACCAAAGAATAAGCACTGGCTACATGGTCATAGAGGAGAGTGGATGCAAAAGCTGCTCCCTGGCTGTTATTTTGGAGATACTAGGGTTATTCATGTAACACTGCACCATGCCCCTGTGAAATGCACATATATTAATGGGGAATGAGAGAACATACTTTAATAATTAAAAAACTAGGTACCTGTACCAGCAGGAGTAAAGTATGGAATTGTGTGGTTTTATATTTTCCCCTACCATTTCCTATTTTGTTTTCCCTCACAAGCTTTAAAAAACAGGAAATTAAATGCATAACACGACATTAAGGCAGCACAGTTCAAAACTTCTGCCCCATTGGCTTAATATGTTAGTGCTTATGGTCTCAGACCTGCAAGCAGATGCACCAGCATGGAGCTTTGTTTGCATCCATGGAGAGTTTCAATGGAACTCCTTATGGGTAAAAAGATCTGTGCGAGTGCATCTACTTGCAGAGTTGGGAATTATACAATGTAGACTAGAAAACATGCAGTGGGGACTGTGATAACATTACTCTAAGGTTCTTAATCTTTGCATTCCTTGATTCTTGTGATTTTAATTGTGCAACATTAAAGTTGTACCGTTTTCAATGGGCAACAAGACAGCTAAGTAATTACTTAATTTTCCTCTTTTGCAAAGGTAAAAGTTATAATAGATGCCCATTCTGTGCACATTCAAAAATGCCAGGAATACGTGGGTAAAAAATTATTGGGTAACAGTACAAAAAACTATTTACAGTAAGGATCAGACAAGGTATGAGTCACAAAATAACCATACAGTGTAATATAAAGTGTTAAAATACATAATGTAGAGGATAAGATACCTCTAAACACACAGCACATACCTATGAGACATTGAGAAAAAGAATTCTTGAAGTAGCAGGACAGTTGGGAAAAAGAGAGATTGCTCCCTTGAGCGAAGCTGGCCTTTAAGCAGCACTTTGTGGCGCTCCAGCCATGTTCAAGACTCACTATCCATCAAGTTAAAATAACATTCCCAGTTTAGCTTTTGCAGTAGAAAGTGAGAGTCGAAAGTTGCCTTTTGGCTACAAACTGCATCCTGAAAGAGCATTCAGGCTCATGGGGGACAATATAAAGCAAAAAGAATCCCCAAAAGTCTGAGGAGCTGGGAACCTAAAATAATCAATACTAAAAAATAGACAATAATACCTTTAAAATAAATATTCACCAGTACAAAGAACAGGTTTTTAATGTTGTCTTTCCAATTAGTCTACCTTAGCCTTCCATCATGAAGGATTTGTCTTCCTAAAACAGGATACACCTTCTACCCTGTTTCTAAGTGTTTTGAAAACATGCAAATTAAAATCAAGGAGTCTTATTAGAACATGTATAAGGCAAGTCAGTGGAAGGCCTGCAGCCGTGTATTAGTGACTCCAGAATGAACACCCAATATAATGTTAACTAGTCTTGTAATATTAAAATAAAGAATGTTAGAAAGTGTATATGTTAAAAATGAAAACACAAAAGCATGGGAAAGCTCCTAGAACAACAAAACCAAACATGACTGAATTATCACTAACTTTAGCTTGGTATACCTTGAGCTCCCAGTTTTGCTTGAGCTGGAGTAGAGGCTGAACTAAGCAGTGGGTCGGAAGATGGATCCAGAAAATTGGTGGTCTGATTAGTTTTACATGACATCAGAAGTGATTCTTCAGATACATTTTCTAGGCTCATCTTACTTTGTCTACTGGTATCTAGGAGATCTTTTCCAAAGAAAGCTTCCTATAATGAAGGCAAACATACATTAAAGTCAGTCTATTTAGGAAAATTTGTATATCTATCTGTCTACATGAGAAAGTTTTACTAGTTATACCAATATAGTTGTATAGCATCCGTATGGACTCTATTATATTGGTATAAGAGTGTCCACACTGGAAGGTGAAGGGAGGCGTATGTGTGTCACTGGTGGAGGGTGGTAGTGGTTACACTGGTATAACCACATCAGTTTAAATTCACATCTTAGGTTATACAGGAAAAAAAACAAACCAAAAACTTTCCTTAGGTACCAACATAGCCCTGTGGTATCTGAGCACAACACAATCTTTCATGTATTTATCCTCACACAAACATCACTGTGACACAAGGAAATGACTTGACCAAAGCCACACAAGAAGTCTGTGGCAGAATAGGGAACTGAACTTGGGTCTCCTGATTCCCAGGCTAGTGCTCTAACCACTGACCATCCATCTGTCCTGAATGGTTATCAATTAGCAGAAATCACCATATTGTGGAGCTGCAACAACACAAAACCTCTTTCTTCATGGAGCATAACGTTGTCCATTTTCATTAGCAGACTTACATACACTGTATAATAGCTGTTATTCACTTGCAGCTGACTCATGAACATCATCAGGAACCCACTGACTGGTCAACAGACTACACAATCTTCAAACCAATTTGTCAGCTGCAGTATTGTTAATTTGTTGCCACCTCCTCATTTGGCCCTAGAAATCCATATCATTTTAAGTTCTAATTGTTTAAATGTAATTAAAATTATTTTTAAATTTCAGTTATTCTCTGCCTTAATGAAGTCAGAACCTACACACAAGAGCTAAACAACTATTCTGTTTCACAAGAATCAAATTAATTAATTAATTAATTAAAAAACCCTGCTAGTAAGAGGAAGTCTTAATTCATGGATTTTCTCCCCCCCATCACATGAATACAGAGTATTTTTTCTCATCAAATAATATTCTGTGATCCTTCTGTAAAGAAAATGTAATAATATCAAGGAGAAATGAGAAGATCTGACTAAGGGTTTTGACAGTATTCAATATATGCAAGTATGCAAATTAAAAGTGTAGTGTTTCAGTGTGTTGGGATCCTGAAAGATGATCCTTTACTCTCACAGATCTTGGGAGACAGATCTGTCCTCGCTTATAGACAACCCCCCAACCTAAAGCAACTACTCACCAGCAACCACACATCACTGAACAAAAAACAACTGACCCAGGAACCT